AGAGAGACAGAGAGAGAGAGACACACAGAGAGAGACACACAGAGAGAGACACACAGAGCGAGAGAGAGGCACAGAGAGAGACACACACAGAGAGGCACAGAGAGAGACACACACAGAGACATACAGAGAGAGACACACAGAGAGAGACACACAGAGAGAGACACACAGAGAGAGACACACAGAGGCACAGAGAGAGACACACATAGAGAGAGACAGAGAGAGACAGAGACACACAGAGAGAGACACACAGTGAGAGACACAGAGACACACAGAGAGACACACAGAGAGACAGAGACACAGAGAGAGAGACAGAGACACACAGAGAGAGACACAGAGAGAGAGACACAGAGAGAGACACACAGAGAGAGACACACACAGAGAGAGACACACAGAGAGAGACACACAGAGAGAGAGACACACACAGAGACACAGAGAGAGAGAGACACACAGAGAGAGAGACAGAGACACACAGAGAGAGACACAGAGATAGAGAGACACAGAGAGAGAGAGACACACAGAGAGAGACACACAGAGAGAGACACAGAGAGAGAGAGACACACAGAGAGAGATACACAGAGAGAGAGACACAGAGAGAGAGAGACACACACAGAGAGAGACACACAGAGAGAGACACACACAGAGAGAGACACACAGAGAGAGACACACAGAGAGAGACACACAGAGAGACACACAGAGAGAGACACAGAGAGACAGAGAGAGACACACACAGAGAGAGACACACAGAGAGACACAGAGAGAGAGACACAGAGAGAGAGACACAGAGAGAGAGACACACAGAGAGAGGCACACAGAGAGACACACAGAGAGAGACACAGAGAGAGACACACAGAGAGACACACAGAGAGAGGCTCAGAGAGAGACACACAGAGAGAGAGACAGAGACACACAGAGAGACACACACAGAGAGAGGCACAGAGAGAGACACAGAGAGAGACACACATAGAGAGACACACAGAGACACACACAGAGAGAGACACACAGAGAGAGAGACACACAGAGAGACACACACAGAGAGAGGCACAGAGAGAGACACACATAGAGAGACAGAGAGAGACAGAGCCGCACAGAGAGAGACACAGAGAGAGACAGAGACACAGAGAGAGACAGAGACACAGAGAGACACAGAGAGAGACAGAGACACAGAGAGACAGAGACACAGAGAGAGACAGACACACAGAGAGACACAGAGAGAGAGAGAGACAGAGAGAGAGAGAGACACACAGAGCGAGAGAGAGAGAGACAGAGAGAGAGAGACACACAGAGAGAGACACACAGAGAGAGACACACAGAGAGAGACACACAGAGATAGACACACAGAGAGAGACACACAGAGATAGACACACAGAGAGATACACAGAGAGAGAGACACACAGCGAGACACAGAGAGAGACACACAGAGAGACACAGAGAGAGAGAGACACAGAGAGAGAGAGACACACAGAGCGAGAGAGAGAGACAGAGAGAGAGAGACACACAGAGAGAGACACACAGAGAGAGACACACAGAGCGAGAGAGAGACACAGAGAGAGAGACACAGAGAGAGGCACAGAGAGAGACACACACAGAGACATACAGAGAGAGACACACAGAGAGAGACACACAGAGAGAGAGACACACAGAGAGAGACACACAGAGGCACAGAGAGAGACACACATAAAGAGAGACAGAGAGAGACAGAGACACACAAAGAGAGACACACAGTGAGAGACACAGAGACACACAGAGAGACACACAGAGAGACAGAGACACAGAGAGAGAGACAGAGACACACAGAGAGAGACACAGAGAGAGAGACACAGAGAGAGACACACAGAGAGAGACACACACAGAGAGAGACACACAGAGAGAGACACACAGAGAGAGAGACACACACAGAGACACAGAGAGAGAGAGACACACAGAGAGAGAGACAGAGACACACAGAGAGAGACACAGAGATAGAGAGACACAGAGAGAGAGACACACAGAGAGAGACACACAGAGAGAGACACAGAGAGAGAGACACACAGAGAGAGATACACAGAGAGAGAGACACACAGAGAGAGAGACACACACAGAGAGAGAGACACACAGAGAGAGACACACAGAGAGAGACACACAGAGAGAGACACAGAGAGAGACACACAGAGAGAGACACAGAGAGACAGAGAGAGACACACACAGAGAGAGACACACAGAGAGACACAGAGAGAGAGACACAGAGAGAGAGACACAGAGAGAGACACACACAGAGAGAGGCACACAGAGAGACACACAGAGAGAGACACAGAGAGAGACACACAGAGAGACACACAGAGAGAGGCTCAGAGAGAGACACACAGAGAGAGAGATAGAGACACACAGAGAGACACACACAGAGAGAGGCACAGAGAGAGACACAGAGAGAGACACACATAGAGAGACACACAGAGACACACACAGAGAGAGACACACAGAGAGAGACACACAGAGAGACACACACAGAGAGAGGCACAGAGAGAGACACACATAGAGAGACAGAGAGAGACAGAGCCGCACAGAGAGAGACACAGAGAGAGACAGAGACACAGAGAGAGACAGAGACACAGAGAGACACAGAGAGAGACAGAGACACAGAGAGACAGAGACACAGAGAGAGACAGAGACACAGAGAGACACAGAGAGAGACAGAGACACAGAGAGAGACACAGAGAGACAGAGACAGAGAGAGACAGAGACACACAGTGAGAGACACACAGAGACAGAAGGGAAACGGAGAGATGAAGTGATATGGGAGAGAGAGAGATCTGAGAGAGAGGGATGGGGGAGAGAGAGATAAGGAGATAGGGGGGAGAGCGCTAGGAGAAGATGCGATGCTCACTGCAACCATTGACGTCACCGTCACGAACGCGCACGTGCCCGGCCTTAAGAGGCGCTCGCTAACAGCACTTGCCCCAGCGTACTGTTTAGGCTGTACGGGGGAGCTTTGTCTTGTCAAGGGTGCACGTCCGTGTCTGCGTCTTTGTGGGGAGCGGTGGTGCAGTGGTTAGCGCTACGCCGCGCTACGAACCTGGCGAGCCGGGTTCGACTCCCGCTCACGGCCAACACCGGCGACGGTTGTCTGAGCCGGTCCTGGGCCTCCCCTAGGTCGACTCGGCCTCAAATGTGCAACGATGGTGCGATGTGTGAACATCGTCCCCGGGGGGGAGACAAAGGCGGCCGGGCGTGGTGCTGGCCACCCACCGCCTCGTGTGCCGTGCCGGCCTTCATAGGTGCTGCTCGCTAACAGCACTTGCCCCCACATGTCTGTTCCAGGCTATACGGGGGACCTTTGCCTTTGTGTGTTTGTTGGAAAATGACATTCGCTCCACACGGAGGGAGGGAGGGGAGGGGGAGGGAAGGGGGAGGGGCATTGAGGGAGAGGAGGAGATGGATGTTGCGAGAGTGGGAGGGAGAGAGATTTGAGAGAGGGATAGGAGAGAGAAGAAAGATGGGGAGAGGGGGAGAGGCAGGAGGAGGAGCTGCTGCGGCTCTTGGGTTAATTTATGCGCCGCCCCTGGCCAATCGGGGGCGTTCGAAGGGCGGCACGTTAATCGTGAGTCGCGTATAAATTGAGGCTCAACAGGAAGTGATGCCGTGTGTAAATTGAGGATCAACAGGAAGTGATTGCCGTGTGTAAATTGAGGGTCAACAGGAAGTGATGCCGTGTGTAAATTGAGGCTCAACAGGAAGTGATGCCGTGTATAAATTGAGGATCAACAGGAAGTGACGCCGTGTATAAATTGAGGCTCAACAGGAAGTGACGCCGTGTGTAAATTGAGGGTCAACAGGAAGTCACGCCGTGTGTAAATTGAGGGTCAACGGGAAGTGATGCCGTGTGTAAATTGAGGATCAACAGGAAGTGATGCCGTGTGTAAATTGAGGATCAACAGGAAGTGATGCCGTGTGTAAATTGAGGATCAACAGGAAGTGACGCCGCGTATAAATTGAGGATCAACAAGAAGTGACGCCGTGTGTAAATTGAGGATCAACAGGAAGTGATGCCGTGTGTAAATTGAGGATCAACAGGAAGTGATTGCCGTGTGTAAATTGAGGGTCAACAGGAAGTGATGCCGTGTGTAAATTGAGGCTCAACAGGAAGTGATGCCGTGTATAAATTGAGGATCAACAGGAAGTGACGCCGTGTATAAATTGAGGCTCAACAGGAAGTGACGCCGTGTGTAAATTGAGGGTCAACAGGAAGTCACGCCGTGTGTAAATTGAGGGTCAACGGGAAGTGATGCCGTGTGTAAATTGAGGATCAACAGGAAGTGATGCCGTGTGTAAATTGAGGATCAACAGGAAGTGATGCCGTGTGTAAATTGAGGATCAACAGGAAGTGACGCCGCGTATAAATTTAGGATCAACAAGAAGTGACGCCATGTGTAAATTGAGGATCAACAGGAAGTGATGCAGGGTGTAAATTGAGGCTCAACAGGAAGTGATGCCGTGTATAAATTGAGGATCAACAGGAAGTGACGCCGTGTATAAATTGAGGATCAACAGGAAGTGATGCCGTGTATAAATTGAGGCTCAACAGGAAGTGATGCCGTGTATAAATTGAGGATCAACAGGAAGTGACGCCGTGTGTAAATTGAGGATCAACAGGAAGTGATGCCGTGTGTAAATTGAGGCTCAACAGGAAGTGATGCCGTGTATAAATTGAGGATCAACAGGAAGTGACGCCATGTGTAAATTGAGGCTCAACAGGAAGTGACGCCGTGTATAAATTGAGGCTCAACAGGAAGTGACGCCGTGTGTAAATTGAGGATCAACAGGAAGTGACGCCGTGTATAAATTGAGGCTCAACAGGAAGTGACGCCATGTGTAAATTGAGGCTCAACAGGAAGTGATGCCGTGTGTAAATTGAGGATCAACAGGAAGTGACGCCGTGTATAAATTGAGAATCAACAGGAAGTGACGCCGTGTATAAATTGAGGCTTAACAGGAAGTGTGTCTGCCGGCGCGTGGGTGACTCGCAGGTGTACAGAGTCAGGCGCCGGTGACGCAGGACGAGCGGGCGATCGTGGGCGACGCGGTGGTGCTGACGTGCCGCGTCGACCGTGCCGACGGCTCGCCCATCCAGTGGTCCAACCCCGCGGGCCAGACTGTCTACTTCGGTGACAAGCGAGGTGACGGCTCGCTCGCTCACTCACCCGTTCAACCGCCCGGCCCGCTCACTCACTCGCTCACTCGCTTACTCACTCACTCACCCGCCCGCTCGCTCACTCACCTGTTCAACCGCCCAGCCCGCTAACTCACTCGCTCACTCGCTCACTCGCTCAATCGCTCACTCACCCGTTCAACCGCCCAGCCCGCTAACTCACTCGCTCACTCACTCGCTCACTCACTCGCTCACCCGCCCGCTCGCTCACTCACCCGTTCAACCGCCTGGCCCGCTAACTCACTCGCTCACTCACTCGCTCACCCGTTCAACCGCCCAGCCCGCTCACCCGCCCGCTCGCTCACTCACCCGTTCAACCGCCCGGCCACTCGCTCGCCCGCTCATCTGTTCAACTGCTTCACCTGTTCACTCACTCTCACCTGTTTGGTCACCCACTCACTCAATTTCTCACCCGCTCATCCCCGTGTGTCCGTGCTGTCAAGGATATCCGTATCGAGCTGTCCCCGTGTGTCTCCACACGTCTCTGCGTGTCTCTGCGTGCCCCTGCATTGACCCCGCGCTTCTCCACATGTCTCCGCGTGTCCCAGCTCTCAAGGATAGCCGTATCGAGCTGGTCCACGCCAACAAGAGCGAGCTCTCCGTGCTCATCAACAACGTGACGCTGGACGACGAGGGCGACTACCGCTGCTCCCTCTTCACGGACGACGTGCAGACCGTTGTCTCCGTGCTCACCGTCTATGGTGAGTCGCCCGCTTGCCCAGTCGCTCGCTCGCTCACCCAGCCACATGCTCACTTCCCCAACCGCTCGCTCGCTCACCCAGTCGCTCGCTCACCCAGCCACTCACTCGCTCAACCAGTTGCTCGCTCACTCAGCCACACGCTCGCTCACCCAGCCACTCGCTCGCTCACCCAGCCACTTGCTCGCTCGCCCAGCCACACGCTCGCTCACCCAGCCACACGCTCGCTCACCCAGCCACACGCTCACCCAGCCACTCGCTCGCTCACCCAGCCACTCGCTCGCTCACCCAGCCACACGCTCACCCAGCCACTCGCTCGCTCACCCAGCCACACGCTCACCCAGCCACTCGCTCGCTCACCCAGCCACTCGCTCGCTCACCCAGCCACTCGCTCGCTCACCCAGCCGCTCGCTCGCTCACCCAGCCGCTCGCTCGCTCACCCAGCCACACGCTCGCTCACCCAGCCGCTCGCTCACCCAGCCACTCACTCGCTCACCCAGCCACTCGCTCGCTCACCCAGCCACTCGCTCGCTCACCTAGCCACACGCTCGCTCACCCAGCCACACGCTCGCTCACCCAGCCACATGCTCACTTAGCCACACGCTCGCTCACCCAGCCGCTCGCTCACTCACCCAGCCACACGCTCACCTACCTAGCCGCTCGCTCACCCAGTCGCTCGCTCGCTCACCCAGCCGCTCGCTCGCTCACCCAGCCGCTCGCTCACCCAGCCGCTCGATCACTCACCCAGCCACTCGCTCGCTCACCCAGCCACATGCTCACTTAGCCACACGCTCACTTACCCAGTCGCTCGCTCACCCAGTTGCTCGCTCACCCAGTCGCTCGCTCACCCAGCCGCTCGCTCACTCACCCAGCCACTTGCTCACTCACCCAGCCACACGCTCGCTCACCCAGCCACTCGCTCGCTCACCCAGCCGCTCGCTCACCCAGTCGCTCGCTCACCCAGCCGCTCGCTCGCTCGCCCAGCCACTCGCTCACCCAGTCGCTCGCTCACCCAGCCACTCGCTCGCTCACCCAGCCACACGCTCGCTCACCCAGCCGCTCGCTCGCTCACCCAGCCACTCGCTCGCTCACCCAGCCGCTCGCTCACCCAGTCGCTCGCTCACCCAGCCGCTCGCTCGCTCACCCAGTCGCTTGCTCACCCAGCCACTCGCTCGCTCACCCAGCCACACGCTCACTCACCCAGCCACTCGCTCACTCACCCAGCCACTCGCTCGCTCACCTAGCCACTCACTCGCTCACCCAGCCACTTGCTCGCTCACCCAGCCACACGCTTGCTCACCCAGCCACTCGCTCACTCACCCAGCCACACGCTCACTCACCCAGCCACTCGCTCACTCACCCAGCCACTCGCTCGCTCACCCAGCCACTTGCTCACTTAGCCGCTCACCCAGCCGCTCGCTCGCTCACCCAGCCACACGCTCGCTCACCCAGCTAAACGCTCAATCACCCAGGCGCTCGCTCACCCAGCCACTCAATCACTCACTCAGCCCCTCCCTCACCCAGTCGCTCGCTCACCCAGCCACACGCTCACTTCCCCAGCCGCCCGCTCGACCAGCCACACGCTCGCTCACCCAGCCGCTCGCTCACCCAGCCACTCCCTCACCCAGCCGCTTGCCCGCCCAGCCGCTCGCTCGCCCAGCCGCTCGCTCGCCCAGCCGCTCGCTCGCCCAGCCGCTCGCTCGCCCAGCCACTTGCTCACCCCCGCTGTTACACGCTCACCCGGCCGAACGCTCGCCCGAGCATCCACTCGCCCTCCCACCCACACCGACTCGCCCGGTTAGTCGCCCACTGACTCGTCCACTTGTTGCTCGGAGGCTGGGTTACACTGAATGTGTGTGTGTGCGCGTGTGGTTGTGTTTGTGAGCGTGTGTGTACGGTTGTGTCTGTGAGTTTGTGTACGGGCAGCGGTCGTGTAGCGGGTTAGCGCTACGAACCCGGCGACCCGGGTTCGATTCCCGCTCACGGCCAACACCGGTGACGATTATCCCAACCTGTCCTGCCTCAAATGAGTACCTGGTGTGGTGTGTAAACATCGCCACTGGGGAGACAAAGGTGGCCGGGCGTGGTGCTGGCCACCCACCCCCTCGTGTGCCGTGCCGGCCTTCATAGGTGGTGCTGCTACTCGCTAACAGCACTTGCCCCTACAGTCTGTTACAGGCTATATGGGGGGATCCTTTTTAGTTTAATGGGTGTGTTGAGGGGTATCTGTGATATTTTAGGTTTCACCTCTGGGAATAAAAACGAATTTTTGCTGTTATTTTCTCGGTGAATCTCCCTCCCCCCTCTCTCTCTCTCTTTCTCTCACCACTGTCTTCACACTCTCTCCTCTCTCTCTCTCCTCTCTCCCCTGGGTGAGCGAGTGTGAGGGAGGACGGGTGGGTGAGTCGTGGGTGGACGAGTCGGATGGGCGTGCGTGCGTGCGTGCGACTGGGTGGTTGAATACATTCCGTAACAAATTATTATATTTTGTTCCTGTGTGGTAAGTGTTATTTCCTAATTGCTTATGCCGCCCGCAGACAGTGGGTAACAGTACATCTCAAGATATCACTGTCCTAGGCCACAAGAGCAAAGCTTTGTGGGGGAATGACAATCGCCGCCACCCCCCCTGTGCTTTTGAGGCGTGGGAAAATTACGAAACAACGCTTTACTACCCAGGAACAGGTGACAGGTTTCACGTACCGTGCGATTGCGTAGAGAGCGCTGTGAATCATGCGGCTCTTGATTCGGGTGCCAACCGCTACAGACCAAAAAATCGCGAGGTGGGTCAGCGAATATAGGTGGCTGGCATTTACATTCTGAGACCTCCTTTGCCAGAAACAAGATATAAGAATAGGTTTTACCCTTTTAACTGGCACAAAAACTGACACCTTTATTCAAGGGGATCATGTTTGCAATAACCACAACACAAGCAGTCAAAATGCAAACAAAAGAGACAACTCTGATAATAATATTTGCACTGTCCTTGAATTTGATTGGTCCACACCCGAGACAGCTTTTCTTAGAGCCTAGTCTCCATTGGTGTTGGACCAGATGACACCATAAGGCGTACAACTCAAAAACAACGCACCATCAGAGTATTGAGGGCTCGGGGTGAGCATTTACATTATGAGACCTCCTTTGCCAGTAACAAGATATACGAATAGGTTTTACCCTTTTAGCTGGCACAAAAACTGACACCTTTATTCAAGGCATCATGTTTGCAATAACCACAACACAAGCAGTCAAAATGCAAACAAAAAAGACAACTGATAATAATATTGGCACTGTCCTTGAATTTGATTGGTCCACACCCGAGACGGCTTTCTTTAGAGCCTAGTCTCCGTTGGTGAGTTGTACGCCTTTTGGCGTCTTCTGTTCCAACACCAGTGGAGACTAAAGGGCTCTAAGAAAAGCCGTCTCGGGTGTGGACCAATCAAATTCAAGGACAGTGCCATCATCATTATCAGAGTTATCTCTTTTTTGTTTGCATTTTGACTGCTTGTGTTGTGGTTATTGCAAACACGATCCCCTTGAATAAAGGTGTCAGTTTTTGTGCCAGTTAAAATGCTAAAACCTATTCCTATAGGTGTTTGGCCCCGCCCCGTGCAGTGCGTGTTTCACCGGTGACCTGCCGACTCTCCGTTCAAGCCATGAAGGAGGGGCCGTTGCCCGAAACGTCGCCCATTAAACAATTGCTGCTGCTGCTGCTGCTGTTGTTGCTGTTGACACGGAAGTTCCCGAGTTGTCATCGGTGTTTGCGCGCCACTGCCAACGCAGTAGCGGCGGCGCCCCGCCACTCCACTGCTGGATGGTACGGCGGAGGGGCGTGGCGGCTGCCTGTGCGACCATACTTGACCACGCTCGTCTTGGGGTGCGAGTCGCTGGAGTTTGGTGGGGGCAGTCTCCCTGCTGGGAATTCCCCTCCCCCAGCGGCGACAGCGGCAGCAGCAGCAGGTCACAGCAACCTGTTACGCAGTCGGATATCCCAGTCACGGATGCCGCTGGTTGCTAGGCGACGGATGCCAACGGTTGCTAGGTAACCGATGTTGCCATTTGAGCGGAACCGGTTGCCAGGTTACACTGGTTTTTAGGTAACGGATGGCCAACGGTTGCTAGGTAACCGATGTTGCCATTTGAGCGGAACCGGTTGCCGGGTTACACTGGTTTTTAGGTAACGGATGGCCAACGGTTGCTAGGTAACCGATGTTGCTGGTTGCCAGGTAGCAGATGGAGCCAGTTGCTAGATGGAGCCAGTTGCTAGGTAACGGTGGCTAGGTTACGGACCTAACTTTTTTTCTGGGTTACCAACGTAACCGGTTGCTCGGCAACGGTCCCCCCCGGTAACGGCTGCGGCCGGTCGCTATTTTACCGGCATAACCGGTTGCTGGGTAACGGTTGCTGGGTAACGGTTGCTGGGTAACCGATGCGACTCGTCGCCTAGTAACAGCGGCCTGCCTCGCTCCCCCCCCCCCCCCAGCGGTCCCCGAGGACCCCGTGATTGGGGGGTACGAGTCCCCCGTGGTGGAGGGGGCCCCCGTCTCCCTGCTGTGCTCCACGGCCGGCAGCAAGCCGGCAGCGAGGCTCAGCTGGCTGCGTGACGGCAAGTCGCTCTCCGGTACGCTCGCCCACACGCTCGCCCACACGCTCGCTCGCCCACACGCTCGCTCGCCCACACGCTCGCTCACACACACGCCCACACGCTCGCTCGCCCACACGCTCACTCACCCACACACTCACCCACACGCTGACTCGCCCACACGCTCGCTCACACGCTCACTCGCCCACACGTTCGCCCACACGCTCGCCCACACGCTCGCCCACACGCTCGCCCACATGCTCGCTCACCCACACGCTCGCTCACCCACACGCTCACTCACCCACACGCTCGCTCACCCACACGCTCGCTCACCCACACGCTCGCTCACCCACACGCTCACCCATACGCACACTCACCCGCAACGCCGCTCACCCGCCCGCTCACTTCACAGCGTACCCGTGCACTCACCCGCACGCTCACCCGCTCACTCGCCTACCCACCCAATCAATGAGCCATTTCCCCTGATCACTCACCTGGTATGCGATGATGATGACGATGTGATTGACGATGTGGACGATGATGGTGATGACGACGTTGACGATGACGACGACGACGACCATGATGACAATGTGGAGACGTTGACGACGACGTTGACGACGACATTGATGACGACGTTGATGACGACGACGTGGATGACGACGTTGATGACGACGTTCACGACGACGACGTGGATGACGACGTTGATGACGACGACGTGGATGACGACGTTGATGACGACGTTCACGACGACGACGTGGATGACGACGTTGACGAAGACGTTGACGATGACGTTGACGACGTGGATGATGACGACGTTGACGACGTGGATGATGACGACGTTGACGACGATGATGGTGTTGACGACGTTGACGATGACGACGTTGACGACGTGGATGATGACGACGTTGACGACGTGGATGACGAGAACGCGCCGACGATGGCGACGTTGGTCCGTAGGTGCGGTGGAGGAGCGTGTATCGGAGGCGGCGTGGGGGGGGCGGACCTTCGCCGTGACGTCACGCGTGGCGTTCCGGGCCACGCGTGACCTGGACCAGGCACGGCTCACCTGCGAAGTGACGCACGAGGCGCTGCAGGACTCACTCTCCTCCTCCGTCACGCTCACCGTGCACTGTGAGTGAGGCTCACTCACCAACACACTCACCAACACACTCACTCTCCTCCTCCGTCACGCTCACCGTGCACTGTGAGTGAGGCTCACTCACCAACACACTCACCAACACACTCACTCTCCTCCTCCGTCACGCTCACCGTGCACTGTGAGTGAGGATCACTCACCAACACACTCACCAACACACCAACACACTCACCAACATACTCACTCTCCTCCTCCGTCACACTCACCGTGCACTGTGAGTGAGGATCACTCACCAACACACTCACCAACACACCAACACACTCACCAACACACTCACCAACACACCAACACACTCACTCTCGTCCTCCGTCACACTCACCGTGCACTGTGAGTGAGGCTCACTCACCAACACACTCACCAACACACCAACACACTCACCAACACACTCACCAACACACCAACACACTCACTCTCGTCCTCCGTCACACTCACCGTGCACTGTGAGTGAGGCTCACTCACCAACACACTCACCAACACACCAACACACTCACCAACACACTCACCAACACACTCACTCTCCTCCTCCGTCACACTCACCGTGCACTGTGAGTGAGGATCACCAACACACTCACCAACACACTCACCAACACACTCACCAACACACTCACTCTCCTCCTCCGTCACGCTCACCGTGCACTGTGAGTGAGGCTCACCAACACACTCACCAACACACTCACTCACCAACACACCCACCAACACACTCACCAACACACCAACACACTCACCAACACACTCACCAACACACTCACTCACCAACACACTCACCAACACACTCACCAACACACTCACTCTCCTCCTCCGTCACGCTCACCGTGCACTGTGAGTGAGGCTCACCAACACACTCACCAACACACCAACACACTCACCAACTCACTCACCAACACACTCACCAACACACTCACTCACCAACACACTCACCAACACACTCACCAACACACCAACACACTCACCAACACACCAATACACTCACCAACACACTCACTCACCAACACACTCACTCTCGTCCTCCGTCACACTCACCGTGCACTGTGAGTGAGGCTCACTCACCAACACACTCACCAACACACCAACACACTCACCAACTCACTCACCAACACACTCACACTCCTCCTCCGTCACGCTCACCGTGCACTGTGAGTGAGGCTCACTCACCAACACACTCACCAACACACTCACCAACACACTCACCAACACACTCACCAACACACTCACCAACACACTCACTCTCCTCCTCCGTCACGCTCACCGTGCACTGTGAGTGAGGCTCACCAACACACTCACCAACACACTCACTCACCAACACACTCACCAACACACTCACCAACACACTCACCAACACACTCACTCTCCTCCTCCGTCACACTCACCGTGCACTGTGAGTGAGGCTCACCAACACACTCACCAACACACTCACTCACCAACACACCCACCAACACACTCACCAACACACCAACACACTCACCAACACACTCACCAACACACTCACTCACCAACACACTCACCAACACACTCACCAACACACTCACTCTCCTCCTCCGTCACGCTCACCGTGCACTGTGAGTGAGGCTCACCAACACACTCACCAACACACCAACACACTCACCAACTCACTCACCAACACACTCACCAACACACTCACTCACCAACACACTCACCAACACACTCACCAACACACCAACACACTCACCAACACACCAATACACTCACCAACACACTCACTCACCAACACACTCACTCTCGTCCTCCGTCACACTCACCGTGCACTGTGAGTGAGGCTCACTCACCAACACACTCACCAACACACCAACACACTCACCAACTCACTCACCAACACACTCACACTCCTCCTCCGTCACGCTCACCGTGCACTGTGAGTGAGGCTCACTCACCAACACACTCACCAACACACTCACCAACACACTCACCAACACACTCACCAACACACTCACCAACACACTCACTCTCCTCCTCCGTCACGCTCACCGTGCACTGTGAGTGAGGCTCACTCACCAACACACTCACCAACACACTCACCAACACACTCACCAACACACCAACACACTCACCAACACACTCACTCTCCTCCTCCGTCACACTCACCGTGCACTGTGAGTGAGGCTCACTCACCAACACACTCACCAACACACTCACCAACACACTCACCAACACACTCACCAACACACTCACCAACACACTCACTCTCGTCCTCCGTCACACTCACCGTGCACTGTGAGTGAGGCTCACCAACACACTCACCAACACACTCACCAACACACTCACTCTCCTCCTCCGTCACACTCACCGTGCACTGTGAGTGAGGCTCACCAACACACTCACCAACACACCAACACACTCACCAACACACTCACCAACACACTCACTCTCCTCCTCCGTCACACTCACCGTGCACTGTGAGTGAGGCTCACCAACACACTCACCAACACACTCACTCACCAACACACTCACCAACACACTCACCAACACACCAACACACTCACCAACACACTCACTCTCCTCCTCCGTCACGCTCACCGTGCACTGTGAGTGAGGCTCACTCACCAACACACTCACCAACACACTCACCAACACACCAACACACTCACCAACACACTCACCAACACACTCACCAACACACCAACACACTCACCAACACACTCACCAACACACTCACTCTCCTCCTCCGTCACACTCACCGTGCACTGTGAGTGAGGATCACTCACCAACACACTCACCAACACACTCACCAACACACTCACTCACCAACACACTCACCAACACACTCACTCTCCTCCTCCGTCACACACACCGTGCACTGTGAGTGAGGCTCGCTCACCAACACACTCACCAACACACCAACACACTCACCAACACACCAACACACTCACCAACACACTCACCAACACACCAACACACTCACCAACACACTCACCAACACACTCACCAACACACTCACTCTCCTCCTCCGTCACGCTCACCGTGCACTGTGAGTGAGGCTCACCAACACACTCACCAACACACTCACCAACACACCAACACACTCACCAACACACTCACTCTCCTCCTCCGTCACACTCACCGTGCACTGTGAGTGAGGCTCACCAACACACTCACCAACACACTCACTCTCCTCCTCCGTCACACTCACCGTGCACTGTGAGTGAGGCTCGCTCACCAACACACTCACCAACACACCAACACACTCACCAACACACCAACACACTCACCAACACACTCACCAACACACCAACACACTCACCAACTCACTCACCAACACACTCACCAACACACTCACTCACCAACACACTCACCAACACACTCACCAACACACCAACACACTCACCAACACACCAATACACTCACCAACACATTCACTCACCAACACACTCACTCTCGTCCTCCGTCACACTCACCGTGCACTGTGAGTGAGGCTCACTCACCAACACACTCACCAACACACCAACACACTCACCAACTCACTCACCAACACACTCACTCTCCTCCTCCGTCACGCTCACCGTGCACTGTGAGTGAGGCTCACTCACCAACACACTCACCAACACACTCACCAACACACTCACCAACACACTCACCAACACACTCACCAACACACTCACTCTCCTCCTCCGTCACGCTCACCGTGCACTGTGAGTGAGGCTCACTCACCAACACACTCACCAACACACTCACCAACACACTCACCAACACACCAACACACTCACCAACACACTCACTCTCCTCCTCCGTCACCCTCACCGTGCACTGTGAGTGAGGCTCACTCACCAACACACTCACCAACACACTCACCAACACACTCACCAACACACTCACCAACACACTCACCAACACACTCACTCTCGTCCTCCGTCACACTCACCGTGCACTGTGAGTGAGGCTCACCAACACACTCACCAACACACTCACCCACACACTCACTCTCCTCCTCCGTCACACTCACCGTGCACTGTGAGTGAGGCTCACCAACACACTCACCAACACACCAACACACTCACCAACACACTCACCAACACACTCACTCTCCTCCTCCGTCACACTCACCGTGCACTGTGAGTGAGGCTCACCAACACACTCACCAACACACTCACTCACCAACACACTCACCAACACACTCACCAACACACCACCACACTCACCAACACACTCACTCTCCTCCTCCGTCACGCTCACCGTGCACTGTGAGTGAGGCTCACTCACCAACACACTCACCAACACACTCACCAACACACCAACACACTCACCAACACACTCACCAACACACTCACCACACACCAACACACTCACCAACACACTCACCAACACACTCACTCTCCTCCTCCGTCACACTCACCGTGCACTGTGAGTGAGGATCACTCACCAACACACTCACCAACACACTCACCAACACACTCACTCACCAACACACTCACCAACACACTCACTCTCCTCCTCCGTCACACACACCGTGCACTGTGAGTGAGGCTCGCTCACCAACACACTCACCAACACACCAACACACTCACCAACACACCAACACACTCACCAACACACTCACCAACACACCCACACACTCACCAACACACTCACCAACACACTCACCAACACACTCACTCTCCTCCTCCGTCACGCTCACCGTGCACTGTGAGTGAGGCTCACCAACACACTCACCAACACACTCACTCTCCTCCTCCGTCACACTCACCGTGCACTGTGAGTGAGGCTCACCAACACACTCACCAACACACTCACTCTCCTCCTCCGTCACACTCACCGTGCACTGTGAGTGAGGCTCGCTCACCAACACACTCACCAACACACCAACACACTCACCAACACACCAACACACTCACCAACACACTCACCAACACACCAACACACTCACCAACACACTCACCAACACACTCACCAACACACTCACTCTCGTCCTCCGTCACACTCACCGTGCACTGTGAGTGAGGCTCACCAACTCGCTCACCAACACACTCACTCTCCTCCTCCGTCACACTCAC